TCTGTCTCCTCTGTTTGGCAGTCTAATCCGTGCATGAAGTACTCTTCCTGAATCCAGCCAGCTCCAGGCCAAACCACCTATCAGTTTCTAAAAGATAATGCGCCCCGAAAATTTGCTTCGGATAAGCAGAAGCGTTCTTCCGCAACAGTTCTCGTATACACATAAATCAATATTATTTGACAGTTTCAAAAGGTAACCTTTCTCCCAATCCACAGACGTCCTTCCCTTCCTCAACACGAAAACGCAGTGGTTGCGTTTGCGTGTCACCTGGCATCTCTGGGTCTATTTCCAATGCCTATAACATGTTTCCTCCCGTTTCTTGGATTTCATCAACCTTATGTCCCTCAAGACTTCTGCATATGCTGTAGGACTGGTGTTTACCAACAGTGCTGTCTCTGCTGGTTGTATTTCTGGATGAGCTGCTGGTGATAATCCATTTACGAGTCCTCTAAATTGACCTGCGTGGCGATTTCTGTCTTCATCTCCTTAGATAAATGGTTTTTCTTCTCTGCCTTCCAAATTTTTTGTCTTTTACTGAGTAACACTTCTGGTTATTTGGCATTCCTTCCTGTTGTCTTTGGTAGACATAATAAGGCTAATATCCTTCAGTTTCCAGTGTCATAAGAATGTCTTCCGTCTATCCTAACAATACTCTGTACTCCTTTGCTTACTTTTCTGTAGGTTTTGTCGGCTTTTCCATTAGCGATTTTATCTCTGCACTGCTTCCTCTTCTGCAACTCAATCCTCTTCTTCTCTAACACCGTTACGTATTGGTAGAGATCCGTTTCTTTCCTCTTCTCTCCTTACCTGCCTAAGATATGTATACAAGTTTATCCCCAAATCACCATCAAAATTCTAGTAGTCTTCCAGATTTCATCACTGATGTTCCTTGATACCTCCGGTATTTTCCTGATAAGCCCTGTGAAGACATCATTTTGTAGCTTCATCTCATCTATGAGTGTTCAGTTTGAAATGTGGCCCACCTCCAGCTTCTCCGAAGACTTTCAAATTGAATTCAAGTTTCTTCGCACTTCTTAGTGTTGTGAGAGTACATCTGCTCCCCCACTTTCTTTACAATGAGATTAAGTTTATCTGATTTTTGATGTTTTAAGGTACTGGTAGTGTAACCAATAAGCTACACTACACCAGCTCCTGTTGAACGTAGTTCGCCTAATTACCCAGTAACGTACTCTACCTAGCTTGTAAGTACTTACAACAAAACGCAAACCAAAAAGACTCAGTCAATTAATCATGATGGGTGGTAACTTTAGCTCCATCTGTGGAGACTTTTAAGCGGAAGCTGGGCTAGCATGCAGAAATGCATGGTTTGTGTCTCAATGGCTTACCCTCTTAAAATTTGAAACCACATTGTCAATGGATAAGCATACAAGCTAAATCCCCACGACCCGTCCTGTCTTCTCCCACCGTACTGACTACTCTATCTTTTCTTTCTTTCTTTATTATTCCACCTTTATTATTTCACTTATCTCAACCTATATTATCTACACTACAACCTATTATTATTATTCTACTTTTATGACTACACCGAATGACCAACGGGTGTTAGGTCAAACTCCATTCACGGCAGCAGCTGAGTCCTAACATACTGCACACTACAAACCACAATCTTGACCAATCCTCGCACCACTCCTCCTGGAGTCTACCAGAGCTAAAGCAGTCGAGTGGCGGGATTTACTACGCATAAGTTCACCGAAGATCTGGAACCTCTACCTTAAAATCAAGAAGCGAGCTCAAAGAAATCACTGGTTTATACTAGCTCGTAATCAGGATATTGGATCTGAATAAAATCTCTGTATTATTTAAGGAAAAGGATTTAGAACTAATCCAGCTGGTAAGGGTGAACTATGGAGTGGGAGAATGATTTTCGAACCCACCTGGGTGTGTACAAGTTAAGACAAAACTGGAAAAACTGGGAGGTGCAGTACATGTCCATCAGGCAAAATCTACACTGTCTTTTGTGTGTCCTTGTGCCTGTACACACTGCTTCTGAACAACAAATCATTAGAGGCGCAGAAACCTTCCAGCAGTTTCCCGTCCTCAGTAATTTCGCCGACAGTCTCCTGACCCATGATGAATTTTCCTCTAATAGTGTTTATCCCTAATCTTCGCATTCATACTACCTATCATATCTTGACGCCGCTATTTGGCTAAGGTCATGCCTGTCATTATTTGCAGTTGTCTGCTCAATTTCTCTCCCTCTTGGTCTGTGCTGCTTGTAGGAGAGTAGCACTGCATAATTGTAACTGTCCTAACTTTTGAGTTGAATCTTGCTACAATTATTCTGAGGCAGATTGATCCCCCCCCCTACACAAGAACCAACGATGCTGACAAGATAGCCACATTGACACTTGTCACCTGGGTGACTACAGTAGATCACTGAGTATCCAGTTAACAGTTTCGAAAGTCCACTCCCGTTCCATTTGCTCTGCCAGTTTCCCAACTCTTAATCAAAAAACTCATTTCTTCAATAATTCCAGCAGCCTTTTCAATCTCAGATATGCTGCGGTCATTTCATTTTCTTATATTTACTTTTGTTTTCATCGAAGGAAAAGACATCGGCCGACTGGCTTGCAGAAGAATTTCACCAATCGGCCTTATCTGCCCTCTGAACAAGGAGTCTTCCCCTAACCAATGGAGAATTAACATTTTAATTTTGCTTCTGTAATCTGAGATTCCCACAGAGGTGGGAGTTTGCTAGCCCCACGCTCAACAGAAGTACGCATAAAGTCAATACATATACATCAAATATTTAGTTGCAACTGCATTTCTGTGGTGAAAAGGACTGGTGGGAGATTCCTCTCCGTCTTTTAGAAAATGGAGTTGCACCTAAATTAAGGTACTAGCAAAAACCATCTCCTGAAATTACAAATGTAATCAGCTTAACTTATATGGAGAAATATCCTGTAATCAGTGTTAGGATGCTAAAATATTTTGGATCGGATGTCACTCTTAAACAGCGATTTCATATGTAGGCTGAAATATCCACTAGCAAGAGCCGATGAAACCAACATCATCTGTACGAAGAATTGCATAAACTTTGGAAAACCATTTGCCTTCATACCCAATAACATAAAGTATAAGCCAAATGATACGAGATATATTTCTTCGCATCAGTACAAATGGACAACTTTAACGGGAAGAGTGAAGTAATGCGGAACTGGAAAAACAGCTGCACAGTATACACACTAAATAATAGGTAGTCGCATGTTGTAGCGACGCCAAATGTACTTCAATGTACCCAAATAATCAGCATTTTTCACTGTCTTCATGCGACTTTCACATCATTAGTACATTTAGAAGATTAAACAGAAATAGCGAGAGCGAAAAGGACTGTTTGTAGTTCCTTTAGATGACAGATCTACACGGTTTACGTAACAGTGACACGACAGATATTGGCGGCACCCCTTTCAAACTCAAACGGTGTCACAGTGGCACCCTGTCGATAAGGTCAGACGGAACTTTCTGATATACACCAGTAATTATGCATTGGTTCCAGGAACTGTGGAGGGGTGAAAATGTGATCTTACCCCTCGTCAATGCCTACAAGTTGGCCAAACTCTCTAAAAACGTTTCTCCTGAGCCCAACTTAGACTTCTTTGTCTTGTACTCCAAGATCCCAAATAGCAAGTTAACCAACGTGACCCCATTGTGGTTATCACAATAATTGTCTCCTTATAAACTAAAATGACTAACAACCAATACAAGTCTGATTTAGTAACCACATAATCACACACTAACTAGTACTTTATTTATTATAACACTAGTGTGACTGGGTAAGTTTTAGACAGTGGAAAAACTAATACTGAAAAAGGCCAGAATTCCTAGAAGCCTGATACTAACCAAAACATCAAAAATATGCCACCACTGATAAATGCAGATGAAATGACTAAAACGCATTACAGTAAGATTAAATACACTAATGCCTTAAGTTTGAATGCAGATTGATATCAATTAGAGAACCATTGGGAAACCAAACAGTACCGCACTGCCGTTTCGTCCCAGTTTGAGACTCTTCACAGCAAGCACCGATCAGCATTTGAACCAAGGGCCTTCACACTACAACGCGAGCTCATAGACAATTCAGTCACTGGGACCCAACTCAATGGCCCCTGAATTCTATCTTCTGCTAATCTATGGTTTTAGTGAAACCACCAGCCAGTGTCATCGGCTGCCAATGAATCCCATACCTGGACGAAACAGTTGTCCAGTACTCCCTGGTTCTCTAAAATCTCTGTTATCAATCCGTGGTCAAACTCTAAATAAATCAAATCCCCACAAACTAACTCTTGAAAACTAATTCATTGCCCTACCAATTCCAGGAGGAAAACGCCACATAGCCCTCGTTCATAAAAGTATAACACGCTATATATGCAAGACTTCCGCTGACAAACAACAAAAGAAATGTTAACAATCTACCTTATTGAAACATCCCATAACTTTATTTAGCAGAAGAAAAATAGTTCGCGGGACTATGCTTACACTTGAATGTAGGTGCATACACTTCTTTGGGTCAAGTGTCACCCAACCATTACAAAGATACAAATTTCAATTATCAACATTATATTTATTCACTTAGGATTTTCACATCATAACAGGCTCAAGTGAATAAATTGAAAGTATAATCTTAGTAGAAAGAAGAATTTCCAAAAGAACATGACCATGTTCAACTGTCGAGATGGTCTTAGTGAACTATGCAGTGTACTAAGCCCTATGAAGCAATAAATTCAATTAGTCTCGATTTTGAAATGAAACCTTACATGTAAACACACACATATACATACATAAACTCATAGTCACATTTTGGCTAGACAAATCGTCCCAGTAATGGATACAAAGGTAAACTCTTCCACTGAGTGAGTTTAATCAACAAACTGGAAGCTTCTATCCTCAACGAGATACTGGAGGTAAAATCCCTCGAGGCTGATAAACAAGTTAGTCTTTATTGACGTGAAACGTCAGACTACCTAATATTTTCATTTCAAAATAACAAAGAAACCAAAATCTTACCTTAGGATATAGGATATGTAGAAAAACGAGACATAAGCAAAAAATATACTTTATTATTAATAACAAGTCATTGTCGATTAAAAGATTAGGTTAGAAAAGATGTGTCGTATAAGTGACTTTAGCAAAAAAAATAATTAACAAATATCACTGAAGGAAAATATTAATCCTAAAAAAGGCATGCATTAATCAAACGCCTTCAAAAATTCCTCAGCACACTGACGAGCACGTGAATTGACTGCTAAACGCATTTCAGAAATTTCCTTATCAATTTCATCCATAAAGGTGATTATAAAATCCACTAATTTCGTTTTTGACATTTGTTCCGTGTGAAAATTTGTAATCAGGAAGCTGATATCATAACCCTATAATACAGAGAAAAAAGTGAACATCACATGTTAAATTGATGACTAGAAAGAAACTAGACAAAAATGATAAATGGCGAACTACACGTATTATTCTCTACACGACCGATGGTGCTACCTCGACTGAAAGATGAAGTACCTAGACTAGCCACTTCAAATTGTATCTATCAATTCAACTGCGCTTGTGGAACGAGTTATATTGGCCGTTGCTCTAGGAACTTGATTTTTCGTGCTCGAGAACATATCCCACTATGGCTAAGTAAAGGTGTAGTTAAAACTATTAACAGCTCGATATTAGATCATCTGGTGCAAACCGGTCACAAAGCCAGCGTAGAAGAATCCTTCTCTATAATCTACCGGGTGCCTAACAAATTACCAAAATCGTCGAAGCACCGCATGCTCCAAACAGCAGAGGCTATTGCAATTCGCCTCAAACAAACAGTGCTCTGTGTTCAAAAGAAACAAGTCCAGCCCCTACTACTGCCCTGGTCCTCAGTAGAAACTATAAACTCATGAATTTGTACTATTACCTTTCCTAATTCTTCTGACATTCAGTTTAATTTATGTTGATGCTGTTCAGCTGTAATTTATCAATATTATTGATTTGATGTTATTTAAACATTAATGTCGTTCATAAGACTAATTCATTCATTCATTATAATGTATATATAATTGTAGAACCTGATGATGAATTTATCGAAAAGAGTACTCTTTGTTCCGTGTCCATTCTTTTGAAAAATGATAAAGTAAATATCTAAAATCCATTCAAAAAGTACATTAAATTAGAAGTATTCTTTAGCTTTGTTGATTTTATAATTAGTGCACTTATAACATAAAAGTGCTTATCAGCATAAAACCTGGACACTGTGATAGACAGAATATAATTCCATGTTAGTTCTTTTTTTTGTTTACGCAGCATATAGTGAAACAGAAGTGTTTACTGAATGACATTCCATAAGTGTGACTTAATTATCCTTATATGATCATGATCAGTAGAGATTGTGTTTTCGAAAAAACGTCATCCAGTGTTTGCTACATCAAATAAACAAAATCAATAAAGTACCATTTTCGAAATCAATCTGTCAACCATTCAAAACAAATAGAAACTAATGACACTGTTGCTGAGTTAGGTGATGAAGGCATTCATGATATAAATGTATCCTTATAAATTTCAAGTATTTCTTTAGAATACTTAAGGTGACAATAAAGTCCGAAACCTAAGTTCCACAGAGTTTTATTTTATTCCTTTACGTTCCCAGTGGAACACATAGGCTTCAAGCTACAGGCTTGAAGTTTCGTTAGCAGTGGTTTTTTTATTTTCGCGGGATGGGGTTGCTGGCCTCATGCCCAACCTTCTCTCTTTACCAGTCTTAATACTGGTTTAGCGAGGTAAAGGAGTGCGCCGGCCAGGAATCGAACCCCAGACCACATGCGTGGTAGGCAACCATTCTACCACTGTGCCACCGACGCACAAGTTCCACAGAGTAACAGTTAAAAATACGTCTTCCTATAGTACCCTCAGCATTGGTAACGAGTATGCAGAATATCCTACATTTGACTGAAACTGAATAGTAGGTGGTATGTCAATCAAACATCATACTTATATCTGCATAATAAGACGAGGTCATGATCTTCCCAGTAGGAATTTAAATAACACTTCACGATATCAACAGACATCAAATCCGCTCAAATATTTTTAGGTATTGCAACAACACCGTATAGAGAATTTAACTGAGGAGCTGGATCAGGGGTAATAACCGGTGTTTAACAAGTAAATCCTTCAAGGTTAAGACCACTGAAATTCTAAAACTTGAGCTTTGTTATTTCGGCCTTAATTATTATGCTATACATTTAACTACTGGCACTTTATCATAATTTCACACTTTGAAAACTGATTCACTGTATTACAAATAAAACTATGAAAGTGATAAGAACTATTATAGCATTTGCACAAGAAGTAATCGACCAGTATGCATTGACTGAAACGAATCATGGGCTACAAAAGAAAACTATGTTATCACTGTAAGCATCTGTTCAAAAACTGCACACATTTAGGGTGAATTTGACGCACTAAAATTGTAGATTTTTATTTTCACTGTCCTTAAGAAGTAGAATATTTAAGGTATAGAGCATCAAACTATATTAGATCAAGGTAGGACATCAAAATTTGTCATACAATAATGTTGATTACTGTTGAAGGCGTACTGTGAATTTATGTTAGCATTATTTGGAGCACAAGTTACGTGTCCTAGAGAAACAGTAAATAGAATGATACAATCCCATGTTTAACACAGCTTGCCATCGAATAAATCACACAACACTTATCATCACCAAACTGAAAGTAACATGGAAACTAACTATTTTACTAAATTCGTGATCTCAGCGCGAACGTTAGCAGGTCTCAGTAGCTGAATGGTCTGTGCAAGCTTGCTCTGTAAACTGGAAGATCCTGGGTTCGAACTCCGATGGGTGAGTACCACCGAAGAGTCCCAAACTAGGACGAAACAGATGTGCAGTACTCCCTGGTTCTCAATGACTCGCCAATTGATATCAATCTGTGATCAAATCTGAAACAAATCAAATCCCTACAAACTAGCTCTTAAGAATGATTTACTAAAGAAAAAGTTGAATACAGAAGATTGTTAGTGTCATGCCTAAGTCAGTTGCTGTTACTTACATGATTTAAAATTTGCATAGTCTTAATACTTACATGACAGAAACATAAGTTGAATTGCAAATGGAAAAGGTATATATATATATATATATATATATATATATATATAATTAATAATCTTTTAAGTTATTAAGTAATTATATGTAGCTGTGTGAAAGTAGATGCTTAGTATACATACTGGACAATAAGTTATTGATTTAACTTTGAAAACTAGATAGTATTTGAAAATTCTTAGTTTTTGTATACAGTTGAATAAAGCAAACAAATAATTATCATTTGTTACAGGATTTCATCATGAGCTGACATCAGTTAGAGTACCATTGAAAACCTATGAGTACTGAGACAGCTGTTTCGTCCTAGTTTGGAACTCTTCATCAGCACGCACTCACCACCAGGGTTCAAACCCAGGACCTTCTGGTTAAAAGGCGAGCGACTATTTAGTGTCCAATCAAAGTAGGCTAGTAGTCAGTAGTGTTTCCTATCAACTGGACATTAGAATCAAGTATCAGAGTTGACACATTAACTCGAAATAATGAAAAAGTTAACGACATAATATATGACTGGATTGGTACATGACATTCAAGTATTGGTTTACAGGGATTTGGTTTGATTGGTCACAGGATTTCATCATGAAATGACGTCAGTCAGAGAACCATTGGAAAACCAGCTGGGAGTACTGGACAGCCGTTTAATCAGCCTAGTTTGTGACTGTTCATAAGTACGCACACCACAGGTTCACAACCCATGACTACCAGTTACAAGGCGAGTTCGTAGACCATCAAGCCACTGGGACCCTATCCAATGACCAGTCCATGAATTCCAACTTCTGCCAGCCACTAGCCAATGTCTTCGGTGAGCATTTGTCCTCACGCCCGACTGGTCAAGGCTTCCCACTAGAACCCCAGGTGCGTACTGCGAAGAGTCCCAAACTGGGACGAAACAGCTGTCCAGTACTCCCAGCAGGTTTCCTGATGGTTCTCTAGCCGATGTCAGCTCATGATGAAATCCTGTAACCAATCAATCAAATCCCTACGAACCAATACTTAAATTATCATTTGTATTTCAAACTATATGCAAAATTTGTTTCTTTGACAAAACAAATATACAGTGATACAGTAATGGTTATCAAAGAGGTATATCTAATCTACAATTAAATTTTGTAAGTGTGTCCAAAATTTCCTTTTATATTCGCAGACTAGGACGTTTGCATAGAGTTTAAAATAAAAACTCCAATATCTATATTCCTGCACCAAACCACTAATACATCATTATGTATTGGTCAGTAAATCAAATCTTCACAAGTTATTGTTTAAAACAGCATGTATGACAGATAAATTATAAGCTCAGGCAAGACTTAGTGACTGATTAATCCATACGAATTCTCTGTAATCACCACCTAAAATAAAAGTATGCCTAGTGAGCAGTATGAAATATGAAGAAACTGATGAGTTAAATGAGCATCCTCCGACGCACCCTATGTTAATTGTTCTAAAATGAGTTTAAAATTGTCACAAATCCGACAAGTTTTTAATTAACATTCACGTAGATGGTACAATAACCATGGATTCTAAGGAATACACGTGTTGGGATATTGCTTCATAGAGCTTTAGATCGTTTGAAAACGATGATACAACTGCATTTCTTGATATTTTATTATCAGAATTCAATTACAATATAACAGAGGATTGTATCCACCTGACTATACAAAGACCAACTCACCTGGAAGGAGGAAAGGACTAATCAGTTTAGAGGAAACTCGATTAACATATAAATGGTTGACTGTAGTTTAAACCACAAGGTTAAAATGCAACCGGATCAATAATATAAAAGTATACATTGTACATCTTTCTACTCCATGCTTTTATCTCATCTTATGCATTTTGTCTGCTTTTCTACAAGTGATTTCTTATAGAATGTGGTCTTACACTTTATCTCTCGGAGTGAATACGAATCCAAACCAGTAAGCCAAGGCCACTAAGATGGGCGTGAAAACGCTTAGCGAAACATTACCAAGATAAGAAATCTAGAAGAAGCTCAGATATAGCACTGCATACAGTTACACAAACATACAATAACATGGGATAAAATGGCAATTCGAAATTTTAATATGGGGTGGTGGAGAGAGGTTGATAAATAATAGAAACTTTGTTTATCACATCAACTGTGGATACATGAAACAGGAATGATATAATAGGAGAGCAGCTAAAACTATGAAGACAAATTTCGAAGTTGTGGCGTTACATTTTTACTATGATTATGAACAATAAGTTGTTTTCAAAGCGTCAACCAGGAAATAATACTATTTCACTATCTAATAAATAACTAATAAAGAAGCTGTAAGCAATCATCAAAATCTGGAGTTACGCAAGTTACAACTGGTTGTCTTTCGCTTCATAACTAACACCCACTGAAGGGCAAATCTTAAACAATAAACACCCCAATGAGTTTAAATCTGTAGGTGCTGTCATTGTACTAAAAAAATGATACTAACTGTTTATACATTAATTTGAAATATGAACTCACAGGAACAGGTTTACGTCTAAGTATGACGAAATCTTCTGCACGAGTCATCAGAAAACGAGTAAATTTTCGGCAAAGTAACTTTTCAATTTCATCAGATTGTTTAATAGAAATACTGACGCGTACAGAATTAATTGATCCTTCAATCAATACACGCTCTTTTTCATTTCGACTAATAACAACAGGATTCAGTAAGAGTTCTTTAGATGTTTTAACTTCTACTTCAGGTTTATTATGACGTTCAACAACTTGTGATGAGAAATTTTGAACACATAAGGCTGCATTCAGAGTATGCCTAACAGCATTTAAATAAGGTTTTAAAGCCTGAAAGTAATCAGAACATGAGATGTTAATTATTTCATTTAAGTATTTTTATATGATGAATCTAATTAGATTTTGTTTTTTTTGAATTGAACTAAATTTTGAAATTAAAAAATACGACTACTTATCACACCCAACATTCACCAATATAGTGAAACAAATAACATGACAAGTATAAATCTAAACAGGATACAAAGTTTACATCATAAAATGGATTTCAACTGATGTACATATAAAACAACAAAAATATCACTTTGGAGGTCGTAGTAGATTAACAAATAGTATGCAAAATTATTGCACTACGTAGGCTCAAAGATTTATACAAGGAAAGTGAAGACGGTAGCTTAGATGAGATAGTGGAAACAAGGGAGGCATACTCCAAATTAGGCGACCTTCACCCTTATCTGGACGTTAGCCAAGCCATCAAAGGTTGAGTTTACAATGCTTCGTTGTGCGCAGTCTTGCTCCACGTCTGTGAAACCTCGTCTTTTCAAGCTGCAGATGTGCAATAACTCTATGTATTCGGTCATCGCCAACTCCGTAGAATTTCTTGCATCCAGTGGTATCGTCATGTAAGTAATCCAGAGGTCTCATGGTATGTTTGGACATGGTGGGAGTCGGTTGTGAATAAGTTTTTCTTCTCGGAACACTAGCTTCAGTGGCTCTGAAGTGTACCACTAGTGTCATCCAAGCAGCAACCATACTGGATGCAAAAGCGGAGTAGTCAGCCCATGACGTGGCACCATGGAATGAAGGATAATTGTATTACGTTAGCAGTTGTTGGTGGCATCACGACTTTTTATGCGAGGTCAGAGAAATAATTCGAATCAGTAGCGGCTCAAGACGTTGTCGTACACCAACGAAAATTCCAATGGATGGCGAACATGCTGAAATTTCCTGAAAGTAACTTGAAGTAATGAGTTATCTCTGAATACTGTTTATAAAAAACACGCACCCGTTACTGTCTAGACAAATACAACTGTGCAGCTTTGTAAGTGAAGTCATCACGTAGAGGACTTTCTTCGCCGAAATCTTGATTTTATGTCTGAAAGGGGTTGATTAATTCAATTTCTAAGTCGTTTCAACTATCACTTGCTTTGGATTCCAAAATTAGTAGGTGCCTATATTTTCCTAGTGAACTGGAACTTAATAACATCTAATCATTTGCTTTGTTGCATGAAACTGTGTACTACTGATTGATTGGGATAAGCAGTTGTATACCAATCACATAAACCAGTAGTGTTTGCTAACCATATCGAAGTGATCAAACGCCGGACGGTCGTTTCACACCTTTGGGACCTAACTCAACATTGGTGTATCAGGTTTGACTGAACACAGAGACCACTGGGAACTAATTCCCAAATTACAGATTAGACTCAGTTGCATTATTGTTCGATGTAGCTTGTCAACAATATCTCACTATTGAAAAATGACAACAGAGTGGTAGACCTTTGCCGACTGGAACACGACTTTACTGATATCGAGCTCCAAATCATTACAAGGTGCACTATTATCTGAATCACAACTACGATAAGAAAGAGCCACAGGCTTTCAAAACAAAAATATGACATGATTCTGTCATTGCTTAAGCTCCAACCAACTCGTTAACATGCTTCGGTTTTTAAAACAAAGACTTGGTTTTGCTCTCACCCACTGATATTTAAGGATAAATGAGGTGGCAAGTCTTAAATATAGTAGAACACGCAACCTAAACTTCAATTTTAGATGCGGCTACACAAATAAGACTTAGAACTTTACACATTGCAGCAATTCATGTTGACAGTGAAACTCGGGAGAGTGAATAGTTACATGGAGAATAAACAATATCTGATGGATGGATCTAGGAGTTCACAAATAGTGAATTCATCTGCGTCACTCAGGACGATTTTGAGCCATTTTACCAAGTCCCCAGTGTCTCGAAGATCCCGAAGAGGTAGCCCATACCTCCCTTTCTGGCAAGTTTTTTGATCCTACACTCAGAGTGAGTGAGCATATGCATGCAACGTCATTTCCCACAAAATTATTTTATTGTATTATACATATTAACACATAGACATTTTTTGGAGTATAGTGTAATAAGGATCTATTTGCAAATAACTTTTGGAATTCTGATGTCAATGACTCAATGTTACTTTTAAACGACATTAATGTTGTCAATTTTGATTTACAGCTTGATTCCACACCGTATTTTCAGTACAAGTGTGGAATTTTCAGCATGGATATCGGTAGCCCAAATCCAGGCCGACCATAGATATCGGGTGTGCGCCGGCAGGGGATCGAACCCCGGACCATGTGCATGGTCGGCGAGAGTCCTAACCACCGTGCCACCGACGCACAATGAATGAGTCGTTACTTAATAAAGCTTGAAAACACTATGTGAGGCGTTGCATTATCGGTTTACCTTCGGCGACGATGGGTCATTGTGCCATGGTTGACTTTCCGATTCAGTGGCAAGCAACGAGTCTTCAGACTTATACATGTACTTGCCAAAGCACACATAGTGAACGAACAAAAATAAGTTATGATGGCATGCCTAAGCATAATCTAAGGGACTTCCAACAGAAAGATTCAAAACTTGTCAGTAGGACGATCGCTCGTCACCTTGTAACTAGTGGTAACGAAATACACCTTCCAGAATTTTTCAAGATCATAAAAGTACAAGTTAGTTCCAGTCTACTACCTACCTCCAGAACGGTTAAAACCTGACTTTTACATTTAGAAGGACATTAGTGTCAATCCTTCTCTTACATAGTGAGGTAACTGCATTTTGTCTCAACCCACCTACTCTAACTTTAGGTTACCACTGACTACGTCATTCCATACACTTAAAACTATTTTTTGTATTTATCTCTACCACTGAACTGAATATTTTCCCAATCACTTCAAATCGTCGAAACATATGATGTTATGAGTAAAATATACAGCTAGTTCTCCCCACCACTAATTACTGCCTGAATTCCATTCCTGAATTCAGAATATTCTTGCAACTTATACATACAACCGAGCATTCAGATGCCTACAATCCTGTTCTCTCAAATATTCATTTGTCTAAATGCGTATTATTAGTGGTTTTCAACTTCTAACTGGTGAACCAAATACTTTGTACGTGGATACCGAAACGATTTTACGTTGTATGCAGGCCGAAATTAGCATCAGTAAATACGGACGAATAAATGACTTTGAACGCAAGGACCACATGGCAAAGGCAATATTTGCGTGTAAAATACATATACGTATACGCCATGCAAAACATATATGTTCATGAAAATAAAGCACTAAGAGGCATGAAACAGTTTCACAGGATATCTTTCTCTAACGTGTGACAAAAATACTTCTTAGTTTTAGATTGAGGTATCAACAGAGTAATTTAGCCACATTCTATGAATGTAGTTACCTAGATCTTCTAAACCTAACAATAACCCCAATCTTTCCTAAACCTACCCAAGCTTACAACAATTCTGAACTAACTGTAACCTATACGTCGATAATGCCTTATGGTAAACGACTATTTCATCTACCTAAAATGTACCCAATATGTATTGAAATAACGCTGGTCGGTCTCAAAAAGAGCACTGAACGTCTACTTAATGCAACAAAACATTAATAATAGGATTTTCAGCTAAAATAGTGCCTTCAGTGTTGAATAAAGCTGAAAAAAAATTGCACTATGGGCTGAACTAGGTCTTTTGGCTCTAAAGTAATGCCAGTCAGTACTGAATCCGGTCTGAAACAACGCTGACTAGCGAACCCAGTAGGTTCTGAGCTACTTCTGAAAATGCCTAGAAAAACCAGTGCTGAATTAGTACGTCATGTTGAAAACCAGCACTGAGTTCTAGTCTGCATGTGAGAATAACCAAACCACTTCACAGTAATTTCAGAATTTACCCATGATAGAATTTCAGAGTTAGCTCAGAATTAGCCTGATTTAATTCAGCATCATAGTAAGCTTGGGCATAATGAAAACATTCCCAAGAAACTCATATAATACGAAATCCGAAAGTTAAGCAATGTTCTAGAGAAAAATGTATACATCCCAACAGTATACGATTCCAACGAAGTTGACTTTTATTAAGAGATATGTTCAGTTAACAGTAAATCATGCCTTAACTAAGCTCATAGGCACCTTACCATCGGCCAAAGGAAGACCTTGAGGTTCCAAAATATACAAAATTGCCGCTATACATGCAGATTCTGGAATTGAATGCCTACACACTATGAAAGTATTTTGTAAGGGTTTGTGTTTTCCTATCCGGCTATATTTAAGAATAGTTACCACGGCCGAATGCCCTTGTACCAACTATTAGTATCAAAGGATTGAAAATATTATGCGCGCTCAAGGTCACTGGTTGCAATAGTCGGTTGAAGGTCGTTTACGTCGGTGTTTGTCGTCCATGTTGGATTGCTGTTTTCTACGAGATCGTCCACACACATGTTTTAACGTTTATCCTGCAGTTATTTGCAGCTTATCTCGATGTAGACTACTGGTTAATGTTGCTTTTCACATCTTTTCGGTTACCTCTGGCGTTAGAACTTGTTACTTCGTTTGTTTCGAGAATTTTTACCACACGGTAGTTGGTTTATTTCATTGTAGCTGTTTTATATGTTGTTTTCATGCGCCGTTGCTGTCAATCGCATAACACTGTGTACACTTCTGGAAATTATGTATACGAACATGTTTGGGTGGCAGCAGCTTTTGTTTCCTGTCTGTTTGTTGGTTGCCGCTATTGTTGATGGTCCATATGTCTGCTTAATATGTAGAAACCTGGAAAAATCAACGCATTTCACCTTGATATTTATATCATGCAACAATCTACAAGTCGCTCTGGTGAAGAAAGCACGGTCGGAGTTGGTTTTAGAAAGGCTTTCGGAGAACATATAAGTTCTGAAGAATTTTTAACCTGGCTTGAAGTTGAAGAAGCTTTGAAGTTTCTTGAGAAGTATAACATAATTGTTCTTATTATCAGATCAAAAACACGTGGTATTTTGTGACAGAACTTAAAGTAAACAAGAGTGAACCACATTAGAAATATGAATATGCTGTGATTGAATGCATTTTGGTGAACCAAAAGAAACCGGATAGTAGTCAAAAACCTCTAAACGGTGTTATCTATCATTGTTGATGCTTAATGTGTAAGCTGGAAGCTAGTTCACAATCTAACTATTGCCTAGTGAACATGATTTTGTGAGTCGTACAGAAAATACATTTGCATATTCAGTAATCTATAGCCATCAAATATAAGGTACATATGTCACCACTCTAAACATTTATGCACAGTGTTAACAGCATAAAAGAATACGTAAAATGTCGTAAGGTACACAGACCACAGTGTTGATGAGGATAACAATGCAACATAATGCAGTCTAGACACTGAATCGTGATACTGTGGTGAGAGCTGATTGCAAGCCAAAATTGTAGACTACAATTTACGTCAATACTTACGTCCCGAATCGGAGTCATGAGAATAAAACAATAACAAAACTTAATCTTGAGGGACTCACCAACCAGTCACAGCAGACTTAACGTATGTGGCTTAGCTTTCTAAGAAACGGGCACAAGGAGTGCAAAATAACCTTCAGCAAGAAAACGACCAATAAGAAGACGTCGCTTCTCTGATAACAATAACGCTAATCATAATTTACATAAAAATCTATAAATATCTCTTGATTTTCTCAATAAACTATATGTTGCCTGGCTTTTTCTTCTGTCTTTTCAATGCTATATCTATACCACTTCGTGTAAGTGGAAATTTCAGGATAAATTGATCTCCACTACTGGTGGTAAAGAACACTGAAGAGTAGACATTAAGTACACATTGTCAATGGAAATGGTATAACAAACAGCAGATTAACAAAAATGGAGCTTAATATATTCAGTTCTCATAATCAACACATTACATTTATATGATAATACTATACACTGAATCAATGCATTAAGTAAAACAGTGAGGAAAATTAAACAAGTAACTGCCTTCTCCACTGCACTGCACTGATGCAACAATCATGAGAAACACCGACATCTACTAGCCTGGCAGTCAGCTGAACAGAAAATGGAACAATATTAATAAAGTATAGATATTTTGTATATATTTAATCCACAAAACTCATATTACACTGCACCAATCAGTGCAAAAATATATTAAATCCACCTACAGATAACATTTTAACTTACGATAATTCCTTTCCAAACATAAATTTGGTGGCAAACGCACCTGCATCATAACTTATGTTCTTAAAGAAGGTTCTGCTAGCATTTGTAGGCGAGTTTCATGTACTGATTGCATCTACTTGTAAAATAGTACAGTGCTTTACACGTAAATAGGCTATATTGGTACCTTGAGACATATGAAGTCTTCAATGAATGATACTGTGCCAAAAGGTATAGCTTTTACATTTAGTAGACTAATTGTGTAGATGACATTACTCTGCTCATTATATCAATATTTCAAAACAGTTAGCCTGAAACAAAAAATATTACAGCCAATATGCCGAAGGTGTGCCACAATCAAATCGCAGGACTCAGACATCAATATGACATTTCAGGAGATGAGTTCCTATCAATCTAGAAAGCATATGATACAATTTCGTTAAAAATCAATCACAAAACATTCACCAAGAGAAAATTCAACCGACGTGTCGAATAAGTCTACCCATGTTAGGCCAGGGTTAGGGTAAAAGTTCCGACGAGGGAAATAGACACCATCCATCCGAAATATAAGGCGATCTGGTCAGATAGCTTAAGGCTTTATTGGCTGTGATATCTGCTCTCTGCCGTTGCTGTATGTTCCTCTCTCGACACAGTTACTTCATCTAGTAGTTAAGACCCTACTTCACTAGGATATATCACATCGAACACTGCTTCTCCGAAGCTTATCCGGCATCTTCCTGAAGAGTTTGGATAAAGCCTATAACTTATTGAAGCCCACCTCCTGTTCCAAATCAGTTTTGGATCCTTGATGGGTCCCAGTACAGTTCATCCCCTTGAGTACCGAAGATTTGCTGAACGCATTTGAGGGATTACCTTCGTTTATCTGGAGGGAACGCGCCATATGTAATAGGGAAGTAGCGTTGCTCTATAGTCACTGCGTGCTACTGGTGGCTTTAGTTGAGTTTTATCTCCGAGAAAATGGCTGCATGTGAGACTTTGATCTATCCTGGAACGTTCAGCGTAAAGCCCCTAAGGGTGTCGTCTCACGTGGATTTATTCAGTCCTGCTATCTTGATAGCACTCAGCGGCTGTCCATTGAGGACTGTTCCACAGGTATGTTTGTTGCAGACGCCGAGTGATGGTATACCGTAGTCACCAGTGATAATGACCAGGTCATATCCCATGGTCTATATCACTAGGATTGCTTGGATCATTTGCTGTTCATTTGTCGCTCCCTTTACTGGAGACCGATAAACAACATTAATCAGGAACCTGGAGGTTTTTACGATCATAAAACGGAGAAAGTGGCCATTCTTCCGCTTTGACAGTTACTTGACTGTCATTGGAAATAGTTTCTTGCTGCTACACAATCATACATGGCCGTGAATGTGGCGTTTTTTCACTCTGCTGTTGCCAAATAGCTCTAGGCTTACTCCCACAGCATAGTATGCTGTTGTATTTGATTGTGTACACTGCTCACTGAGTTGGTCTGTGTTTCTGTGGCTTATTGCATTAAGCTGTGATATACCGACCTTGGATGGATGCTGAGGATGAAGTAGTCAGCAGACACTGACTGCCACAACTCCATTCAGTTCCATCTGTGCAAAACTACCACTGTAGCACGCTATGCAGGTACTCCTCTCTCTCATCGCCGGCTGCCAGTTTTGGGGTACAGTGTATGACCATAGTTGTTCGCCTAATCTCGTCATTTACTTTGCGATATGCCTCTCGTATGACTCACTTCTGTAAGGTTTTATTCTGATATTTGATAGTCGGTTAGCAATCAAGATTTGCGATAATAACAAGATCTGTCTCGCTTCCTTCGTTGAGTTCAGGGAGACTCTTAGTGGTAGAGATTTCCCATATGGGGGCGTATTTTCCTAGCGCAGCCTACATAATTAAGCCTATATATCGTCTGATATGAGTTTGTAGCCACAGACTTCCCCTGCTATTTGTAAAATAGGTCCTCTGTGGCCAGTGGGCTGTCATTACAACTGAGGATCCTCAACATAATTGCAGTTTACTCCAATAATAACAGTTTGTTTGCACAAGTCAATCTTGTCGTCTTCACTTCTTCCGAGCGTTTGAAAGCCTTTTTCTGGATGGCAGAATCTTAGTCTACTGCCTTCGATAATATTTACAGGGTGTTTGCCAAAGGTGTAGCATACGTTAGTTACTCCCATGGACAACGATTGCTGAGGTAGGTTTAAACTGAGTCACTGGTTTTCGGGGTTTACAACGGGTTTATGTGCTCTAGGTTGATGTCCAACTTCTCAGCGACCCATATTTTCCTTTGAAAGACTGCTTCTGCCCTCAGTTTGTATGTTGATGATCCGTGTGGTGACTGAATTTTTCTTCGGCGCCCCGAATGAGGATTACGTGGTGTGTTAGGCAAGTGTACCCGAACCACGGATTCTTGACGCAAATTCATAATACAAAAGTCGAACATTCATGTATGAGCTACAATGTACCCACTTCCTACACAGTTTACACCCAAAGTCTCGACCCCTTCAGGTTACTACAGACTCCTAATTGTCACGCTTGTTACCACGAAAAGCTCCTTTTTATTCTTCCTCCGCTTATTACACAAAGCGATTTGCAGAATTACTTCAGGCGGTTTATCACTACCTTCGCGTGGGGTAGAGCATTTGCTCGCTCCCTTCGTAACTTCATCTCAAGCCAGACACTGCGTTGGACTGTGGAATATATTTTTGCAGGTGGTACTTTGAATCATGCCGTTTTTCAACCCCATAGAAGAAACTTTCGTATTCTCTCCCTTGATAAGTTGGGATTGGTGGTCTGGATCTGAGCTTTACTTAGGACTTGTGCACGTAATTCAATGTTTAAAGTACGAGAAAAACAGACTGAAATTAGAGACATAACATAAAGCTCACATGAGACCTTTTCAACGTAACCTTCAGTTGCCCTCTTGTGCATCTTCGTGAAATTCCAGTGAATGATCCACAAGTTCTAGTTATGAGTTGGTCTGTGATGCGTAATATCGCACGTGTAACACTAGGAACTCTGCAGTATTTTGAGATAATTGGACCTACTGCACTAATGTCCATATTCGGCAATATGATTTCGGTTGGATGGATTAGACTCGCTCCGCAAGTTGGTCACTTAGAGGAAACCAACTGTAAGTGGATGTATCCCAAAACAAAACAGAATTCAAACGGTTTTGGGGACAAAGCAAAT